CTTGCTACATTGTGCTATTGCGTTCGGTTGCCGACCAGCTTCAAGCCCGGCAAATTGGCATGCAATGCTTTCCCACCCAGTTTTCCTATTTTTGGGATAGTTACCGCTCGGCCACCGCAAAGCCCTACAGCTACCTGATAATTAACTGCCATGCCAGCTTGCAAAACCTGGACCACCGGCTGGTGACCGGCATCTTCCGAGAGGATATAAACCAAATTTTCTACCTGCCCCCATAGTATGCATTGCAGTCACTTTTTACAGCGCCTCTCCTCCAGCAAAAACCCGCGCTTGCTTTAAAAAGGCTAAAAACGTTGAAATTAAGTACTGGTTGAGTTGCTGGCTAATATCGTGCGGGGACTATTCCTCTTTTTCAAATGCGAGGTCAAGGTTCCAGCCGTATCTCGAAATTATCAAAAATTAGCCAAATTACGGCAATTTGAGCAGGCGCGCGAAGCTTTGATTAAACATTTTGCGGCCGTGAAGGTTTTTCTCGGGCCTTTGACCAGTTTTTGTAATGGTAAAACCAACGTTTAGAAAGATGAAGCTCGTCCCCTGCGAGCAAGAGGGCGACGGCTACGCGGAAACACCCAGAGAGCAAAATGTTGCAGATGCCCGCCAGACTGAGCAAAAATGCGTAAACTTTGCACGGCAACTTGCCCGACGACATGAAAATGCGCATGTACTCAGAATTGTTCAACACACTAACGTCCCTGGTGGCTGAAATTCGTGACAAGGACAAACCTGCCACCCCGGAAGTTCCGGTTAAAAGGTAAAAGTCACCCCGCGTCATCACCACCATGCCCCGAGGCCTTTTCACCTATTAAAACCCGCGCGCGTCGACTTGCCGAAGCCAAACAAAAGGCGATGGCCGTTTCCGTGTCAAAATCTACAAGAAACAAGTTGGATAAACTCTTTACGAACCTTCGTTCCCCTATCGCTTTCACTTCAAGGGCCAACTTGTTGAAAGCCGCTGCGAATATCCCCAAAGCTACAATCGACGCCTATCTACAAGGTAAAAGCTCGTACTTTTGCATAAAAATGTTGCGCATAGGTACCCTCAAAAAGTTTTTGAAGTAGTCTCAACAGCCACCACTGCGCAGATTTGGGGATTTTCAAAATTTAAAAGATTACAACCGGCAGTTTCGGTATTTGCTTGTCGTGGTGGACCTGTTTTCGCGAAAGACTTTGTAAAAAGCCCTGCTGACCAAGAAATGCGAAGAAGTTAGAGAACGGTACAGCGAAATTTGCGCAGAGATTGGGAACCCACCCTATTTTCTGACGACAGACCGGGGAAAGGAGTTTGTCGGCGCACCAATGAAAGAGTTTTGCAGGGAACACGAAATTGTGCAAATCTTTACAAATGGGCAATCAAAAGCGCGCCCGCCGAGCGTAAAATTAGATCGATAAAGGAACGCCTGTACGCCTACTTTACCGAGAAGGACACGTACAACTGGGTGGACGTGGTTTCGGATGTCGTGGCCGGCATCAACGCAACACCCACAACGGCCCGGGAAGGGCTGGCGCCGAACGAGATTACCAAAGAACACCGTTTTCAGGCACCCGTCGTCAAGAAGCAGCGTAAACCCGATCCAATTTTGGAGGTGGGTGATTGTGTAGTTATAAAGTTGTTGGATAAGGTTTTTCGGAAAAGTTATGAGGGTACGCGCAAAATGAGGTTTTTGTGGTGCGGGAAATCAAGCGACACGGTGCGTTCGACGCACCAATTTACTATCTTTCCGACCTGAATGGTGAAGAAATTGAGGGTTTGTTTTACAAAGAAGAACTGGTGAAAATTAACCGCCCTAGGCTTTTTGCGGTTGAGCGTATTTTGCAGCGCAAGACGGTTCGGGGCGTGCGTTGCGGGCTAGTAAAGTACGTCGGCTATTCGGACGTATTTAATAGGTGGGTCCCTTTAAAAGATATCCAAAATGGTAGTCGAACCTTTGCCCCCCTCTAACCGTTTGAGTACCGCCCAAATTTTTGTCGTTTTCCTGATAGTAATTGCCTGCTTGATAAACATGACAATAGCGCATATAAAAGGCTTGGACGTTTCCCTTTGGTTTAGTACTGTTATTAACGCCGCCTGCCTTTTGGTTCCAATTAAGCGAAAATGAGTGACGATTTTTACGTTACGGTAGTTGGTCCCTCGACTGAGAGAAGTTCGACTTTAACAAACCACCTGTCCCGTGAATTGAATTTGCACGAGGGTGGCGCGCAACAAAGTCAATGGGCCTGCGCCCTCGTCGAAATGACGGGGGTGGGCGACGTCGACCAGGTCCCGGAAGACCAGCCGTTGAAGGTTTTGACACGGAGAATAAGGTGACAAACTATTATTTACCGGCAGGAAATTACCTGAAACCAGCCCGACTTGCAAATGCGCTCAACTCGGTTTTTAACAAGATTAGAAAGCGTAGGGGGGACAATCTACCACCCAATTTTGACGCGTCGAACGAAAAGAAAACTTTCACTTCACTACCGTTGGATGGTGCAGAAGTCCCGCACAACGAAGAAGTCGACCCTACCCCCGCCCCTGCCATTACCCCGCCCGCTGTCGAACCCGTTGTTGAACCCACTGCCGAACCCGAGCCCGCTGCCGAACCCACTGCCGAACCCGTTGTTGAACCCGAGCCTATTGTCGAACCCGTTGCCGAGCCCACTGCCGACCCCACTGTCGAGCCCGCTGTCGAGCCCACTGCCGAACCCATTGTCGAGCCCGCTGTCGAGCCCACTGCCGAACCCATTGTCGAGCCCGCTGTCGAGCCCACTGTCGAACCCTCTGTCGAAGCCCCTGCTGAAACCCCTCCTCCTGTCGAAACCGACGTCGAAACCCCTGCTGAAACCCCTCCTCCTGTCGAAACCGACGTCGAAACCGCTGCCCACTCCCCGACCGGACCGCCCACCTCGCCCACGGATTGGTCACTAGCTGGAGGGGACTCAAATTTTGATGCGTCAAACCTGGAAAAGGATTTTACTTCCTTTCGCCTCCCCGAAGAAGTTGTTTTCCAGCCGGAATTTAAAAAACCTGCTAGGCCAGACGTTCTCGACGTCCTCTTCACTTCAAATGATGAAGACGGGGTTAAACCGTTGGAAGAGACGGTGTTGGAAGTGCCTGTTGCCCCGCTTCAAAACTTTACGGATAGTTTTTCGATCGATCTAAAACTCGGGGCCTACGAAAATTGTGGGATCTGTTTCGAATATGACGAGAATAAGATGCGTTTTACCGCGAGCGTCGACCCTAAACGCGTATCGAAGGTTGTTTTGCCCACACTAATCTGGCGGATGCTCGGTTTCGAGACTAGCGTACTTGCCGGTTTCCAATTGGCCAGGTTTCTACCCGACCTGACCTTTAACACACGTAATTTGCGCGTTTTTTGCAATTTGGTAGACCCCCATTTGGTGGGGGGTGATTTTTTGGAGCTGTTACGCAGCATTCCAAATGACACCCTACCTGGTGGGGTGTCGACAAAGACATTCAACCCCCCCGTCTACCATCGCGTCAAGCAGGGACGCTTCAATTCGATCAAACTACACGTTACCGATGATGATGGTCGTCAGGTACCTTTGAATTTTGGTAAAGCGGTTGCCCTCCTCCATTTCAAAAGACTATATTAAGGGTTTGATGCGGTTTCGGTAATTAGTTTTCATGTCATTTGCTAGCTACCACCTTGTCGACCCGTCCTCTATTCAGTGGACTTTTCACGCTGGCGCTCAAACCCGACTGCCAAACCTGCAAAAGGGTGGTGGGGTCATACCACCGTTTCGTAACAGCAAATTTTGTTACCTGTGAAGGCTGAAGTTGTTACCCCGAACCCACTAAGGCACCATTGGGACCCCCAATTGAAGAATTTGTAAAGAAAAACCGGCCCCCACCGAAACTATTTGGCGAGGGTAGTATAAAAAGGGGTCGTAAACGTAGAGCATCCATTTTCACACTTCTCCCACCCAAAAATGTCAACGGTAAAAGCTCTCGAAAATAACCCCGAGCTTTCTTTTTCTAGCGAACTATCCCTTTTTGACCCAATCCAGCATGTGGTCGGCATTCAGTCTATGCGCTTTCGTAGCATTGCCCCGGAAAATAGCAGTCTAAACCAGAGCGGTCCCTATACTTTTCGTATTATGAAAGAGCCGCATTTTATTAACCTGGCTCGCTCGTACGTGACAATGACCTTACGTTTGGTTGACGATAAGGGGGCCGGTTATGTACATTCAGAAGTCGCTGCTGACGGGAAAATAAATTTTAAGGAGCGCTGCGCCCCTATACAATTTGCCGCGCGTGCCTTCTGGAAACAGATTACGTTAAGCATTGGGGGTACCCAAATTGAAAACACTGGCGACCTCTACCCTTACCGCGCATTCCTTAATGCAGAGTTTATGGCGGACAAAAACGTTAAGCAATTCAACTACGGTCACCCTCAACTCTACGACGCCGGGGACAACGGCTCCGAGCACAAGACGAACGACGGTTTCGAGAACATGAGCGTTCTTTTCATGAAGGGCCGCTCGGTGCAGGTGAACAGCCCTTTGGACCTAAACATTTGCAGTGCCAACAAGCTCATGTTAAACAACAGTGACATTCAGATTACGATGCACCGTCAAAGCGACAAATTCCTGATTCGCGGCTACGACTCTGAGCACGAGAATTGGCGTTTTGTCATCGACGACATTCGACTTGTCGTTGCCGAGTACCAGCTGTACCCGTCGGCGGTTGCGGCTATCGAGCGACAACTCAGTAGCGGAAAAAAGGCAAGTTACCCGATGCGTAGCTACCAAACAAAGAGTTTTTTCATGCCCGAGGGTGTGTTGAAACTCCCAGAGATGCAGTTGTTCAACTCCAACCAGATCCCACGTCGAATTTTTGTTGGTCTTGTGAAAAATGAGGCTTTTGTGGGGTCGTATAAGACTGACCCTTGGCGTTTCCATCATAATTCTATCAAAAATTTAAACATTCATTTTGCAGGTCAAACGGTTCCCCACAAGCCATGGAATTTGAGGTGGGATCAGGGTGGTTTGGGCTGCACCGAGGCGTACACGCAGATGTTGGAGGGTTGCGGCATGTCCGGTAGCAACCTAACAAACGGCATTGGACATACAATGTTTTCAGACTCACGATGCGTACACATTTTTGAACTTCTCCCGGACGCTGACGGTGGTGTTGACAGTTTCGATATGGCCGTTGCCGGGCAATGCACACTGGACCTCGAGTTGAGCCAGCCGGTTCCTAAAGGTGGGTTGATGGTCGTGGTTCACGCCGAGTTAATGGATAAATTGACGTTGGACCAGACCCGGCAAGCCCAGACGCTGACATTGTAAAATGAACAACCTGGAAATTGACAGTATCCTGATGTCGAACCCAAAGACGCTCGCATTTTATCAGGGCACGTACGCCGTCGACACGTTGCCATCACGACCTCTGAAGCCAGCCATCTGCGTCAACACCGACAAGATTTCCGGCGAGGGAAAGCATTGGGTGGCCTTCTTCGCCCGTGGAGATACGGTATTTTACTTCGACCCCCTTGGCGATAGACCTGCAAATGGCATTCTAAAATGGCTAAAAACTCACTTTAGGAACATAGTTTGTAGCCCTTTGCAGTTCCAAGCCTTCGGGACGCGTACCTGCGGTGTATTCTGCATTATTTTTTTATATCAAATGAGTGTCGGCTTACCTTTTTATGACGTGTTGAAATTCCTCCGTACCGTAGACGACCCATATGTGATCCTGTTCCTGAAAAGTCGTTTTAATTTCACCCTGCCCATGGAGTACGCCAGGCAAAAACGTATATAAGGAGAGGTGGCTCAACGACTCAAGCTCATTTGCTAACCGCGTTTTTATGATTACCATTCCTGCTGCACGTCCAACTTTCCGTTGCTTCAACTGCGACAAGATCTTTTCCACCAACTCCAACCTTGTACGACATATTAAACTTAACTGCCGCAGTTCCCCGAGTGGACAGATAGAGTCGACCTTCGACGAAAATGCCGACCAGCGAGTCAACTTACAGAAAGACGGTGATAAAGATACAAGTGGAGCCAAAAAGATCCTTGAAATCTCTTTTTACTACGATGCTGCTAGCAACTCTCTTAAATCTCATCTTAACGCCTGCAATTAGGGATCGAGCCGTTGAGTACCTCCTCTATAATCTGTTCACCATGTGATTTGTGTAAGGAATAAATTTTTAAATATATCACTTGCAAACGCACCGTATCCCCTGGTACACGGGTTGTTTTCCGTTGTTTTTGAGTGCGTAAACCTTCTGCGTGTCTGCCCTGGGTCGTGTCTGTCGGGCTAGTGTCTGCGTGTCTTTTCGGTTAGACGGGGGCCTAGTGTGACTACAATCTGAGTCGGGTCTAGTGAGTCAATCTCGCTTAGGATCGGTTGAAAGAGGAAATCTACGGAGGGGACCACTCGGGGGCCACGAGAAGGCGGGAAAGCCAGGGTTCTAAGGTCCGTAAAAATAATCGAGGGTTTCTTGATGAGGTGGTGTTTCGCCAGACGGGCGTAGATACGTCCATCTAGACGAGAAATCTCCAGTTCCCAAATTGTCATCTTTACCGGTGCGTCGTTGCCAGACATCATCGGGTTGTCGCACGGCACCACGTCTTCGCAGAGATGAATCGGCGTCATCTGTAAAGATTTATTTTTAAACTGTTCTTTGAAAGTACGAAAACAATTCAAGGAAAACACAAATACAAAAAAAATCATGCAAGGAAACTTGGGGGCTTATCTCTAACATCTGCGACGGGTAGGTCAACTAACTACAAGGAGAGAGAGAACACAGCGCATCACACATCTCTAACATCTGCCTCTGGGAGAGGCCAACAAGGGAAGTCAGAGGGTGGGAGGCAAAAATCATCACGAGAGGTCGGCAAGGGTAGAGAGAGAGAGAGAGTACGCTACATCATGAAAAAGTGGTGGGAATTGAAAATGTCACGAAAATTTTGGAAATTGGGGGTTAGTCGGCATCAGAGCGTGGGGTATAGGCCTTTTTCGGGGGGTGATTCCAGCTAAGATTATTCAGCATATTGGTAAACTTGCTACAATATTGACACTGAAAGAATTGGTAAACATTGGGTATGTTGGCGAAATGGGAGGTGGCTGTTTTACACGTCTTGCACATTTTGACGTGGATGAGGGGGGTCATATAGTTTTGGGGTGGGTAGCCCCCTTTTCGCCCGGGATGATTATCGGGGTTAGGTTGATCCTGAGTTTCAGCTCCTCCATTCTCCGACTCTGGGTTTTTTTCAACACCGGCTTCGGCGGGGGGTCCGTCGTGGGGGGTTCGGGGGTCGACGGGTTGTTGTTCTTCTTGCTGAAGAGACTACCCATTTTCAACATTCATATTACTTCTGACTAGTTCAAATGAGAGGATTCGTAAAAAAAGACCCGATTAAGGCAAGAAAGAAAAGTCTGAAAAAAGTCGGAAAATCCGAAAATGCAAAGTCAAAAATCGAAAAACGGAATACAGGTAGCAGAATACGGGGGCACGGGTAATGGTAGTTTTGGGGGATTCGGAATGGTTTCCCGCACTATGGGCCCGCTTTTATGCGGACTCTGCCTGGACTAGCTGTCAGTTCCTGGACTGACCTCAACCGCTCGTCAACCGCTCGTTAACCGCTCGTCAACCGCACGTTACGCGCTCGTCAGGAGTTGACCTCAATTTCGCGGACTCGGTGATGGTGACATGTTATAACCCCCCCTTACCCGCACATTTTTGGCTCGTTTTTTCCAAGCCAACTACGGTAGGCTCTTCCTTTCAGTATGTTGGCCTACCAGATGGAATCTTTCAATCTTCCAACTTTTTTTGCTCCAGAAGATCCCTTAACCGTTCTACCGCATTCCACTGATCGTGCTATTGTCAAGGTTTTTAAGTATCTCAAAAGGGAATTTGGTGTGTCCCCTCTCAATCCCTTTGACGTTGATTTTCGACAGTTAAGCTGTGAAGAATTTGACGGAGTTACTGAATTCCTAAAGTCTTGTGAACTCTATCTCCGTGTACGTCACCACGACAAAGTGTTCTACCATCGAGTGTACTGTCCGGTCGTTAAGATTCGCAAAACACCGCCAACCCACCAGTTCGGAAGGGTATTCTTAACTTACAAGGAAACGATTGACATTTGTTATAGATTGTGGGTAACCCCGCAAACTCATAAACGTTGTAACTTGTATATTGAAGGTGAGATTCCCTCGCATCTCGTCCCGACACCCCCTCTCCTCAACCTTGACTTGTTGTATGCCGCCTAACCCCTTTTCCCGTTCTCTCGCCTCGGATTTATTTCTTCGCGTTGCTCTGGTCTCACTATGTGTAGATAAATTCTTTATTGGGACAATATAAAATAAAATACCTGATTGGGGTTTTTAAAAGGGGTAACAATATAGTAGTCACGCGGACCGAATTTTCGGCATAATTGATGGGTTTTTTAACGGCTCGGGCAGGCTGAATTCGTACCGGGGGCTCGGACCCCGTGGACACGGGCAGAGGGGAACGGCTGCGTTCCTCGTCACTGTCACAAATCTCCAAGGGAATGAGCTGGTTAATAGGGCGCTCGAGCAAATGATTTTTGGTATTTTTGACAATCGCGGAGCGAATTTGGGCATCGGCACTAGGGAGCAATTGTTCTATAATGCCCATGCTCCAGTTGCGACGGGGCTTATCCGCATCGATGATGTACACAATATCACCAATGACGGGATGCAAACGGCCTTGCGTATTGATTTGCACTTGACGATGGTAATCGCGCAAGTTAAGCAGGTAGTCTACTTGAAAAGTAGACCAACAATCCCGGAAGAATTGGTCATAAAGATGAAAGAGCTGGCGCACTTGTTCGCTAGAAGTCAAGCTAGGTTGCCACGAGGGCTCTTGGCAATCGAGATTGAGCAGAAGGACGGCTTTGGGGGAGATGAAATCAATAGGGCGCAGGATGGTATCAAAATCACTCTTCCCCGCGAGGGGACGAGAATTGACAATACCTTCAATTTCCGTAAGAAAGGTAACAAAAGTGGGATGATCCATGCGCTCGAATGCTTTGGCGCGTGCAGTATTCTTGTAAAAAATACTTTTCACGACTTTATTGAGTCGTTCCCAGAATCCCCCACGCCACGGAGAAAGAGGGGAAATAAATACAAAATTAATGCCTTGGCGTTCCAGAAAAAGCCCGACTTCATCCGTAAAGTCTTTGCGGCAGGGGCCAATGACTCGAGATCCCAAACGGAAATTCGAGCCATTATCGGCCATAATCTTGGAGGGCACGCCGCGCCGAGCGCAAAAACGTTTGAGCCCCCGAATAAATTCGAAGGCACTCAAATCGTCGCAAACTTCGAGATGAATTAAACGAGTGATGGCACAGGTGATCAGAAGAACGACCTTTTGTTGGTGGGCAACAGTGAGAAAGAAATTATCGAGGCCGACCTGATCAAAAGGTCGAATGTGCATGGCGACGCGGTCGTGCGGAAGATGATTCAAGCCAGGATAGCGATAAGGACGGCCATTGAATAATTTGCACAGCGTACAATGACGGAGAACGAATTCGATCGCGCGGCGCGCGCCCACAGTCGTGTGCGCACGGCGGAATTCCGCAAGAGTGTCCTTCACGCCGCAATGCAAAACGGCTTTATGAGCATTTTCAATAAGCAAGGTGAGCAAATGGCTTTGAGGCACAATAAAAATGGGGGAAACGGTGGAAGCCGGAAGGCCAGAATACCCGAGACGGGTATGAAGACGCAGAAGACCATCAGGATCTTTCGAGATTCCTTTCTGCTGCAGCTTCACTAGATCGAGGCTGGCCCGATCGTAATGTTGCAGAACAAGCCACTCGGAAGCCGCGGCACGGAGATCCTGAGGGTCCGCTGATTTCAAACGCAGCTTACGCCGAATACGGTCAAGCGTATCAGGCGGGAGGGCACGGCCGAAGCCGAGAAAGGCCAAAAGCACCATGATCATGGTGTTGAGCAACTTCTCATAGCTCGAGAAACGGGCAGACTCAATCATGGGCACGACAGGTTCGTACGTGAGAATCTGGGCGCTGTTAACGACGCACGGCGCAGGGGAACCGGGGGAAACAGGGACGTCTTCTAGAGCATCCGGTTCGCAAGGCTCACTAGCAACGAAGGGACTCCATGAGGTGGGAGGGTCGTGCAAAAATTCGGGTCCAACAGCCCAAAGCAGATCAGTGGCCAACTCCGCACCACTGCATCCACGCGTGGCACGATCAGCCGGATTAGATTGGGTGGCGACATAATGGAAGAGGCAGGGAATCTGCTGCTCAGAGAAAAATTGGGCAGTTTGTTGAATGAATTGGATACGATTTTTGACAAACACGCCCTCCTTAGGGGGGCGCTGCAACCAGCTCAAAGTGGCTGTATTGTCCCCGAAAAAGGAAATATGCCGAATTGGGAGATCCAATTTCGCATGCAGATATCGTGCCAATTTGGCGGAGAGGTACAGACCGAGCAGTTCGACCTTAGGGATCGTGAATTTTTCCATATCCTTGAGAGGGACGAGCTTGAAATTTGCCTTTATCTGATGGACACTGACTTGGTCCTCAGACTGGACGCGGAGGTAAGCAACGGTAGCATAGGCCTTCGAGGAAGCATCACTGAAGAGGATGAGCGAGACGTGCTCCCGCTCGCTGCGAGTGGCAACGATGCGTGGCACGCGAATAATTTCGCCTTGGAGGGCAGCCGTCAACTCTAGGAGTTCGGCTTGGTGGGCAGAGTTAAGCAAATCATTCCATTTGTACTGGAAATGCCATAATTGCTGGAGAAAAAGCTTGGGGCGCACAAGCACGGGACTGAGGAATCCGGTGGGGTCGTACAGGCTGCTAAGAATGCGCGCAGCAACGCGCTTGGTGATTCGGTGCAAAGGATAATCCTTAAATTTGATGACCCACCATAAGCAGTCGGTCAAAAGATCCCAGCGCAGGCCGAGAAGTTTTTGGTCAGGGGACGGATCAAGATCTTGGGAAGCAAAATCTTTCAAAATATCCATATTATTGCAGCAGAACTGACGAAGGTTCATATCAATAGTGGCAAAGAGAGATTTGGCTAATTTAGCCTTTGCGATGCCTTCGGCAACAGTCCGACAGCCAATGTACGTGTTGTCCACGTAGCAGAGCTTGGCAAGAGCAGCAAAGTCTGGTTGTTGTTGCCCCAGAGCAATTTTGGCCATTTCTAAAAGATTGGGGCTTGGGCTGAGACCGAAGGGCAATCGGCGATGACGCAGAACCAAGACATTGTCTGGGGAGCACGGACCATCAGGGTCGCGTTACCACACGATGCGGGTCGCATCTCGTTCTTCTTCTTTCAACCAGACGGCCCAAAAAGCCTTTTCGATGTCGCTGCTAATCAGATACTGGTGCGTACGGCACTGCAAAATGATGGGAACGAGTTCCCCGAGCAGAGAAGGTCCAACGTGGAGTGCGTCATTAAGGGAAATTTCTCCTTGATATTTCGCGCTCGCATCGAGAGTGGGACGCACTTTCGTGGTACTACTGCTCGGACGAAAGACGATGTGCAAAGGGATGTAGTAAACGACAGGGCCATCCGCACGGGCAGGATCAGATACGACTTCGAGCACGTCGCGATCGAGCATGTCTTGGATGCATTGTTGAATAGAATCCCAAATTTTGGGATCCATGCGATAACGAGGCAAATTACTAGCTAATCGAGAAAATGCGAGGTGGAAGGAGTCAGGCAGCAAGTGCCGTTTTTCATTCCAGGGCAAATTAATGTAGATGCGCCCGCGCTCCCTCACTTCATGGCTAGCCAAGAAGTCGCGAACAAGTTGATGATCAACAAAGGCAGCGGGCTTGCTATCAATATCGTCGGAAATGCCGATATTGCTCAAAGCCCATGCATCAGTTTCCGAGGTGGAGGGGCCTTCGAAGGCTTCAACCTCCTCGAGCACGCCAACGGAATTGACGAGCAACTGATGGGGGGAAGCACGGGGAAGGGGACGACGCGGTTGCTGGACGCCACTGACAATAATACCGAGGAAGGTATTGAGAGCAACGAGGCCGGAGGGCAAAATTTCACGGACGGAACCTTCAAAGAGGGACCACCAGAGATCCATGCCTAGCAGGATATCAGGCTCGATGGCGCCCGTCGGGGGCGCATAATGCCACTGGAGAGCATGCAAATGAGCCAGATCAGCGGTAGTCAAGGGAGGGGGACGATAGGCACTAGTAATCTTGGAATTTTTGGCATAAACGACGATCGATTTCGATTCGGAGGTGATCAACGGATTGCGCAAGATAAGGCGGACAATAGCAGCAGTTTCTTGATTGACCTGATTGCCAAATGTGATAATATTGAGGTCCTGCTCGAGAAGCGTGGCGAGCCCCAAACGCTGCTGGAGCTCCACCGTGCAAAAGGAGGCTTCTGCGCCTGGATCAATGAAGAGATGGCAAGGGGAGAAGTGCTTGTCCTTGGGGTTATAGACCTCAACGGATAAAGACATTAAGTAACTGCGGCCCTGAACGAGCTCAGCGACCAGAGAGGCAGTAGGCAAGGGTGGATTAAAGCTAGCTGCAGAAGAGGCATGGCCTGGAGTGGAAGAGAGGAATGAGCACTGTGGGAACGCGTGCGATGAGCAGGGTGAGAAGGATAGCGTGCACGGGAAGACGGCCGGCTGTCGTAAGAACTGTGCCGGCTACGACTCCGGTCGGGGGTGGCAGCGGGGCCCGCGGTGGCCGAGTCTCGGGAGCCGGGAGAGGCATGAGCAGTGGCATTATGATACCGCGAACGTTGAGACTGATCGACCCGACTTTGGCGGATACGGCGAAAGCACGCCACCTCAAAGTGGCTAGAACTGCCGCAATTCCGGCACTTGCCCTGGAGCTGGCATTGGCCGAAATGACGCCGGAAGCACTTGGGGCAGCGGTTTTTAGCCAGAAGCCGATTATATTTGTCGCCAGGATGGCGGTACTGGCGACAATGGTGAATATTGTGTTTATCACTGTCGCATAAGGGGCAACGAAGAGCAGAAGAGGATTCGGAGGCAGAAGATCCCTGAGTAGGGGGAGCACGGGATCGTTGCAGAGAACCGCTGTTGATCCGTGCTGGAACAGGATATTCCTGAGAGGAGCGCGCATGACTACGTTCTAGAGTAGGATGAGCAGAGTATTCATCCTCACGGGTGGAGATCACTTCATTAAGGGTCGTAAAAAATTGAGCAACAGAGTAGGCCTCTTCATTTCGGAGGCGATCACGATTAATTTTTGCTTGCACCCAGCTGGGGTATTTATGGAGCAATCGGAAAATAAGTCCAGAATTGTCGTAATGCTGGTCAATGTATTTAAGTCGATTTACAAGAGCAAGAGTCGTATGGTAAGTCTTGCGAATTTCGCTCAGGGAATCACGAGCAGGGAGAAGCGAGTCAAGTTCGAGATGGATGTGAAAGGCACAATGCATCTTTTTTGCATATTTTTGATCTAATTGGGCAAGGGCATCCTTAATAAATCCTTCTTTCAAAGGGTATGCCTGGACAATGATTTCATCGGAAGTACCGTGCAATGCTTCACGAAGAGCCTTTAACTGATCAATCTCACTAAGGGCATAATCGGTGCAATGCTGTTTAAAGCATTCCATAAAATAAGAAAAATCAGCTTCTTTTCCGTTAAAAGTAGGAATAGGAGGCTTTAATTGCAGAAGGCGGAGGTGCTGCTCGAGGCTGCTCATTTCTGGGGTGGGGACGGGAGCGCTAGGGGCAGAGTCGGAGGAAGACGGCGTAGCAGAAGGTGAGGGGGCAAGGCGCACTTGGTTTTCAGTGTCTAACCGAATGCGCAGGCCAGCTAGTTCCTCAAGCAGTTCAGAAGCGGAAGCGTGCAGAGCAAGGGCTTTCTCTTGCATAGAGTCGAGAAAGTCGACTGCGCTGGCCACCACTGGGGGATCCACGTCGTCGGGGAGCTCAGTGACGCAGGTATCAAGTCGACAAATTTTTTCATCGACTTTGAGCACGGCGTTTTGAAGCGCCTCAGTCGCACTGAGCAGTTGGGTGTGACTGGTCAGGTAAAACTTGTTCCAATCGGTGTCAGGGTCGAACTTTAGATTGGTAAGGGCACGATGTTTGTTCACGCTCTTGTCGAGCCAGTTAATAGCTAGAGTTACTTGCCCCTTAGGGTAGGCAAGGGCCCTGGCGTTTGCCATGTCAAGAGCAGGAGAGGGCGAGAGAGGCAGGGGCAGAAAAGGGAAGAGTTAAAAAAAGGGGGGAAAGGCCGAAGCAAAAGTAAGTAGAGGAAAAGTAAGCGAAAAAAGTCGAGCACGAATCGGGCCGACTAAAAAAAAATAAAAAAGGGTACGGTAGCAAACGAAAGTCGTGAAGCGGCGCGAACAACTGGGCTGCTCGGTGGGGAATGAAGTGAAGGGGAGGCAGAGCGGCTTTAAAGGCCGCGGGGGGGGGGGGAGGGGGAGGGGATGATAAAGTTTAATGTTGATCTTCGGGAAGGGGCCACCGTCGGCAAGCCAGCCGGCGGCGATCGGCAGATCAGAATGTTGATATTGGGGCAGGGGCCTCCGACCGCGGAGATCGGCGATTAGATGCTGGTGCTCCGGTGGCGAAACCCAAGGGAAGACTGTGAAGAGGAAAGGGAGGAGCACGGGGTTTCCAGACTCCCCCGCCAGGGGCCGTTTGAACGGAAAGAGGACCCAAAAGGCAGCACATCGAGACTACTCGAAGAGTTGTAGGACGGAAGGGAGTGGGCACGACTAAGGGTGCCAGGCTCGTAGGAGAAAAAGCTCCAGGAAGAGTTAGAGCACGACGAACTGCTAGAAAGAGGGCGGCCTGGGTAGAGCAACTCGGCCAAATCGGACCGATAACGTTGAATTGATTCAGTAAAACCGATCGTGGCGTCAAGTTGCTCGGCAAAGGCGGCTAACCGAGGCCGCGGGCCTTGGTGGGGCAGGGGCTCCATCATCGCGGTCGGCTCGACGACTTGCAGAGCAACCACGGCCGTCAAAAGATCGTCGAGGGCACGCCGGAGACGATCATCGGCGTCTTCCAGAGCCCAGGCAAGGCCGACGCCGCGGGGCGGCATCCAAGGCAAGGACTCGTAACTAGCTACATCGATGCTAAAGATAAGATCAGAGATTCCACACGTGGCCTCATTCAATTGATGGCCAGGGTGCGCAGGGCCGTGAACGGCATCCATGAGGAAGAAGCCGAGACGGTATGGTGGCGGAAGAAAAAATTGACGTGTAATGTGAGAAGATTGCGAAAAGGATTAGTATGAAATGAGAAGCGGAGGCTTGGTGTAAAGGAGAAGATGGTGAGGGAGCTTCCGGCGGGCCCGCACCGCAGGGAGCGAGGTACAGGCAGCCGCTAAAAGGATTATGTTGATGCGGAGGCCGACGAGGGCTCGGACGGTGCTGAAAGCCGAGGGAGGGTGTCGAAAGCCTGAGGAATGCGTCTGGAAGGGTTAGGAAACTGAAGGAATCTGGTCTTATTTGGTAGTGTCCCATTGACATACTACGGGCGATAGAAAATACTAGGAGAATGGGCGCCTCTGAAATTTCATCCAGGACATCCACCTAGCTCCGCTGACCCTTGCTTGGGCAGCCACAGCGCCTTGGGCTGCGTCTATCTATGCCAAATTTACCATTCAAGTTATGTCCCGGCGTTAGTCCGCAAAAGGAAAAAACGTCATGGGCTCAGAAGCATTCCGAGGCAAGGAGACCGGGCAGGGGGCGGCCGCACTCAACTTCACCAAGGTGGCTGAAAATAGGGACGAGTGCAGGAGGGGAAAGCGCATAAAACGAGCATGCTGCAGGAAGAGCAGTAATACGGATCGGCACTGGAAGCCAGAAGCTCACAGTAAAGCATATGTAGATATTATTGCCACATTTAGACCCGGGGGATCCTTGCGACGCACCATTTCTGTAGCACCATCGGTACTATGCTACAGATATTGCAATCCTCTGTATTCCAAGAAGAGCACACTTGCATTCTACACATCGTGTTGTGTGGTAGATGTAGTTCAATTATCTTTAAGTCCTTCTCTTTATTGCAGATTATAACTGAGCAATTACATAATAATTATAAATAGATAGAGAGAATAATACGATAATATAATAGAGAATAAGACATAACCTTGAGCAGTAGTATTTATACTCTAGTCTCCTGCAGGGCAAAAGGATCTATTTTCTACTTGTGCAGTCATTGGACCTCTTTAGAAGAGGTCCGAGAGATAGGCCGTCCCTCAGAGGGAGGCCCTCGTTCTAAAGGAACGGTAGAGAGAGAAGACTGCCTGACCAGCCCGCACAGAGCTGGCTGGTCGCCCTCTTGGAGGGGCGTGGCTCCCCTGGTGGAGCCACACCAATGATCGGCCCCGTGGAGACAAGCGTAATGATGTGTGTCATCATTGTGGAAAGCGAGGACACTGGGCAAAAGAGTGTCGCTCAGATTCTGGAAACCGTGGAGGTAGTTTTTCCAAGCAAGGAAAACAAAACCGAAACAAGGACTGGAAACCGAAGGTGAACCAGGTTGTACAAATCAATGCTATTGATTCAACGCGCAAGGATGTTGAAATCTCAATCGAAGGCAACCATTTTACGCTACAATTGGATACTGGCGCTGCAGTAACTATTATTGACGAGGCTGTGTGGCATCAGTTGAATTGCCCACCACTTACGCCGTCGGATATTCAACTACGAGCTGCCAACGGTAGTCGAATTGACGTGAAAGGATTGTTTGAAACCCGCTTTCAAGTGAAAGGCATTGAGGGACATGGCCGTTGTTTTGTCACCAAAGACATTCGGTTGATGGGGCTTGATTGGATCAATCAGCTGCCACAATTCGCATCCTGTTTCGATGAATTGTGTGTCAATAAGGTTCAAGTGAAGCAATCAAAGCTGGAAAAGGAACTTGTTGAAAAATACCCAAGTGTATTTACGGATGGTCTAGGCTTATGCACTGTTGCTAAGGCTGAGTTACAGCTCAAAGCCGATGCACAGCCAATTTTTCTGCCATTCCGACGCGTCGCATTCTCGATGGAATCAGCCATTGAAAAGGAAATTGAACGTCTCGTTGATTTGACTGTGTTGAAACCAGTCACTTACAGCGAATGGGCGGCTCCGGTCGTCCCAGTCAAGAAGAAGGACGGTTCATTGCGACTTTGCGGTGATTTTTCTACCGGCTTGAATGATGCGTTGCAAGATTACCATCATCCTCTTCCCACAGCGGAAGAAATTTTCACCAAGCTCAACGGTGGACAAGTGTTTTCCCAGATTGACTTGAAAGATGCTTATTTACAAGTCGAGGTTGAGGCTTCTAGCCAAGAATACCTGACAATCAACACACACAAGGGACTTTATCAGTATCAACGACTGATATTTGGTGTGAAAACAGCCCCCGGTATTTTCCAGAAAATTGTGGATAATTTGATCGCAGGCTTGGACGGTACCGCTGCCTACCTGGATGATCTGTTGATCACCGGCCGAAACCAGGAGGAGCATGACGACAGGGTACGTCAGTTATTTGAGCGAATCGAAAAGTTCGGATTGCGCGTCAAAATGGAAAAGTGCACGTTCGGCCAGGCTTCGGTAAAATATCTTGGCTTCATTCTGGATGCCCAAGGCCGAAGACCCGATGGCGAACGCACGGCTGCGATAGCAAATATGCCACGACCTACCTGCCTCAAAGAAGTTGAAAGCTTTTTGGGCATGGTTTCGTTCTACCAGTCTTTTATTCCTCGTATGCGACAGTTGCGCGCCCCGCTTGACGAGTTGAAGAGAAAAGACGCAAAGTTTCTCTGGCGTGAGGACTGCGAACGAGCGTTCCAGTCGCTCAAGGAAATTGTAATTTCCGATTTGTTACTCTGTCACTATGACGCCAAGTTGCCGATCGTCGTCGCCGCTGATGCCAGTGAGCAAGGCCTTGGGGCAGTCATTACCCACCGATTCGCTGATGGAACTGAAAAAGCAATCGCACATGCTAGCAGAGCATTGACTGTGGCAGAAAAGAACTATAGCCAGATTGAAAAGGAAGGCTTAGCCCTCGTATTCGCAATTCGGCGCTTCCACAGATACATCTACGGAAGGCGTTTTGTGTTACTGACGGATCATAAGCCCCTTTTACCGATATACGGGTCGAAAAAAGGAATCCCACAGCACACCGCAAACCGTTTGCAAAGGTGGTGCTTACAATTGAACAACTACGATTTTTCTATTGAATATCGTAACACGACCAAGTTTGGTCAAACGGATGCCCTTTCCCGTCTGATTCCGCCAAAATCGGATCCTGAAGAAGATGTCGTGATTTCGCAGATAGAAATCGACATTTCAGCCGTTTTTGAGGATAAATTGAGCCAAATCCCAGTTTCACACAAGGAAATTGCTGAGCAAACTGAACAGGATTATTCACTCAGCAGTGTGATTGACTCTCTGAAAAGTGGTTCTTTTCCAGACTGTTTGCCAGGCTCGTCGCTGTACGCCTACAAGAGTCTTGTAAATAACTTGTCAATTCACCGAGGCTGTTTGTTTCTGAAAGAGCGAGTTGTTGTGCCGAAAAGGCTACAATCGCGGATCCTGAAAATGCTTCATGAAGGCCACCCGGGCCAAACGAGAATGAAATTGCTCGCAAAGCAATATGTGTACTGGATTGGCATGGATTCAGACATCGATCGCATCGTGAAAGAATGCGAAGGCTGTCAGAAAGCCCAGAAGATGCCTGTAAAAAGTGAATTGACTCCCTGGCCTACCCCAAATCGTCCAATGGAGCGCGTGCATATTGATTATGCCGGTCCGATTGATCAAAAAATGTATTTGATCGTTGTCGACGCTTACTCAAGATGGCCTGAAATCTTTGAGTGTAAGGTGGCAACAAGCCGAGTGACGATTGCCCAGTTGAGAGATGTTTTCTCAAGGTTCGGAGATCCGGAAACGCTCGTTTCGGATAACGGAACTCAATTCACTTCGAAGGAGTTTGAAGATTTCTGTAAGGAACGTGGAATTACCCATATTCGCACGCCGCCGTTCCATCCCCAGTCGAACGGTTTGGCCGAACGTTTCGTCGATACCTTCAAGCGCGCTTTGAGCAAAGCCGCTGGTTCGACTAACGCTGAAACTTTGCAAATATTTCTGCGAACTTATCGGTCCACCCCTTGCCCATCTTCACCAGAACCGCTATCTCCGGCTGAAAGGTTTATCGGGAGAAAGCTTGTTACTCCCATTGCTCGCTTGCGTCTGCCTCAGAGCAACAGCAATACTTGTGCGAATCTCATCTTTCCGAAGGGGGAGAAGATGAAGATGTTTGAACAGTACAACCGGAAGCACGGCGCAAAGAAGCGTTCCTACGAAATCGACCAGACCGTCTGGGTTCGAGATTATAAAATCCCTAGCAAACCTGTCTGGGTAGAAGGACGTATTTCTAAATTGTGTGGAAAGTCCATGTACGAGGTTGAAACTACCTCTGGAGTCGTTTGGCGTCGACATGCCGACCAGCTACGTGCTCGATTCGTTCGAGACGTGCTCGGTGATATCCTGGAAGAATTCGATCTTGCCAGCGATGATAAAGTCAATGTGCAGGACACTGCTCCACCTCTTGACAAGCCTCTCGAGAAGTCAGCCGCATCATCCGCCACCACTCCTACATTGATTCCCCTTGCACCTGTTCCGAATGTTCCCCATCCCACCGCTCACCGGCCGACAACACCAACCAAGTCGCCACCGAAGTCGCATCCACGATCACCGGCGAGATCACCAGCCGTGCCGCGACGACCTCAAGTTGAACTGCCCGAAATCGTTGCTCAACAACCGCAAATTGACCAACTCGATGACGTTGTTCAACACCCACCAGGAAGCGACGAAGAACCTGAACTTCGTCAAGAAGACCAAGCACAACCTGTGAAGAAGTCAAAGAAGACCGACGCCCTTGGACCGATTCTTCACCACAAGCGCATCCGGAAGCCGCCGTCGCGATATCAAGATTGAAGTGCCCGTCAACGTCGTCTCCATCAAGCTCAACTTCATCACCAATCAAGCTCTTCATTCAAGGAGGAAGATGTTGCGGAAGCAAGAGAAGAAAGTCTTTTGATCCAAT